CCTCCTACAGCACAAGCCTGGCAGGGTAAAAGCTTGCTTCTCTTCACATGCCAAGCTTCTATGTCACCATAGAAAGCACTTCCCATATGACTAGGAACAGTCATGCATCATTTAACTCCTCCATGATGGATGCAAGTCCATGCATCACAGGTCAAATTACACATGGTAAAATTTGGCTACAGTTATTGTCACTTTGCCTGTAATATATAAACCTTATCCAATGACTTAAAAATCTGCTGCGCTTAAAAGTTTGTTACCAAGTCAAGTCTAAAAAAATTAATGAAACCTAAGCATGAATCGTTCCATGCTGCCATTATGATTTTGTTCATCTGCTTTTCATCCCTATTTTAGCTAAGGTCTACAATGTAATACCCTTGGATTTGCACATTCTGTTACCCTAGTATGGTAGAATGGCATAGAAGTGGAATAATAATTAATAAAAACAGTTTGAGTAACCTTATGTTCTTTATCTCAGTCTTCAAATTTGTGAATGAAAAGTTGGAGAGGATACCAGGTGATGGTGTTTTCAAGGCAGCAGCCTCCTCACCAACAGACTCTGGTGCAGGAACAGGCTCTATGATATGCACGGTCTTTGGATCTATTGACAACAACAATAAACACTTATTATTATTACACACAGGTATGTGTACTAAGCCCTCCACACCCTAACATCAGTATCCATATTCTCCATTCTCTTCTCTGTATATTTCCTTTAGTACTGACAAGGAGAATTTGTTCAACAATCAAAACTTCTTAAGGTGGCAATCTTTTCCTGTTTATCATGATCTTAAAGAATGACTTAGCAGTTTGATTGTAAGGAGAAATTAAATGCTGGTCACTCTTAGAGTTTAAAGGGTTAACCCTCCCAAGCTGTGATTGTTAATTCGCCTCTGTAGCTGCTACACATTTCCTTATAAATTAGTTATGAGAACTTGGGTTAGATCAAGATAGCAGCGTCTACCTGACAAGTTTGAATATTCTCATTACCTGTTTGCTGAAGAATGTATGGATATTATAGGGAGAAGTTACATGTTAACCACTTGTGGGAGTTAAAGGGTTAACACAGTGCAATGGAAGGTCCTGTTCAAGTACAACTGTAGTGTTGGCAGAATAACTTGCAAAAAATGATCAAAGGTAGTGAGCAGTGAATTCTCCATCTGAATTGTTTACTATCTTTGCATGCTTTTGTTCTTAGCAATGATTGGAACAACTGGATTTCGCTGTCAGTTATGACTGGTTCATTTCCCATGATGCAACCAGTTAATTTTGTTTAATAGGCAACCTTGCTTACTGAGTGACACTGTAATCAGACACTCTAAACCTTTTATAACCTAATATCAGTATGCAGATTCTCCATACTGTTCTCTATACATTCTTTAAGGGCTGACAAGGAGAATTTGCCAAGCAATCAAGAGCTTCTTTAGTTAGCAATAATTTCTTTCATTCTAATGACCTTAATTTTCAACTCTGCAATGATAATGTGAGGAGAAATAAGAGACCTGTCATTCTTAGGGGTTAAAGGGATAAGAGGTGAAAATGGTGCCAGTAAGTGGAGCTTACTTTTTACAAGCAAGAACAGTTATTTTAAACAGCCACTGATCACTGGAATTATGTGGTAGATGCCCCTTCAACCCAGGGGCACTTACTGTAAATCCCTCTGGGTGACCAGCTTCTTATTTCTATCTACAATGTCACCCAAAAATCATACATTAAGATCACAAGAATAAAGGAAATGATCACCAACTAAAGAAGCTCTTGATTATTAAACAGATTCTCCTTGTCAGCACCTTAGGAAATGTATAGAGAACGGTATAGAGAAGATGTATACCCATGTTATGGTGTATTGGGTCAGGTGTTCACCTTTATTGGGATCAACTTCTCTTTCTTCCTCTTCAGCTAATAAACCACAGGTTGACTGCTGTTATAAGTAAGAACAAGGTAAAAAACCAGTTGGCATCAATTGACTGTAATAAAAACTTGAATAATAATTGAAAGGCCTTTATGTAAAGTACATTGCGGTAATCAAATTGATGCTTGTTGTAGGTAATGATGAAAGTTAACAGGCAAATAATTTTTGTTGCACTGTCTTCACTGTCTGGGAAAAAAGAAACAAATAAAAATCCTGATTTTGATGTATCAAGCTAACTTAAAATACCCCAACTGCCCTTTTTTTTTCTCTTCCTCATCTCATTGGAATTCTAGAACCTGCCCTTTATGGGCTAATCCAACCTGTAGCTGAACAAATGATATTTAGTTTCTGTATGTGCAAATTCAAGGAACATTGCATAATTTATATCTAGCACATAAATAAACAGAATTACAACTTACCCCAAGAGCTGAAATGTCTCCTTTATTCTGTACAACTGCATTTGCTCTCTTTCTACTGTACTCCAGCCGTCTTCCCTAAATATTGCATAACAACATATATGATATACAGTGAAACTTAATGGTCACTAGCTCTAAGTGCGGGCTCTTCAGGTCTAGATCTGCAGACAATCTAACAAGAGCAAAGCCCATAATTATGAAATGTTGCAACTCTGTTATAGCTGAAACTTAGGGTTTGGAGTTCCATTGTTAGTAATGGTTATTTTGAACAGTCCTGAATAATTTAGTGGCAATTATTGCCAGCAATTCTACACAGTTGTTGATCACTTCTCTTCCCCTAACCTTTTTCCTTTTCCTTTCACTGATCCAATCATTAGGGAAAGGTACATGTCTGAGATAAGAGTCATGTCTGTCTGGGCAGCATGGATTTGCTAGCCAAAAGAGCAGGGTATGGTTGTTCAAAGGGTGAATATCACAATCCATTGAAAAATTTTTAACCCTTGGATAGCCCAGTACATTTTGCTAACACTTATCCACTGGATAGCAATTTATCCATTGGCTAGGGCTATCTCTCCTTTGAACAACTGAGCCCAGTATTCTATCTGGAAGCTAGCTGGCAAAAATGAAATCCCTTAGATATATCCCTTGCATCTACCTTTCATTCACATGAGGCAGCTGGTTAAACAAATAAAAAAGCTGAGTTTCCTAAAAAAAACTGTGGCACTGCATCAGCAGGGAGTATTACAGCATATATGGTTTTAAATGTGAATTGGCCACCCTACAGAGTTTCCAAAGCTGACCTTTCAAGAATGATTAGCCTAATCATTTAGAGTGAACAGAACTGATGTTAAATTTATAAAATGCATTGTCTTCATGTTGACCCACAAACTGACTCAAACATTTTTATGCATCAGACCACACAATAAGTATGGCAGCAGCTAGTACCTGAAGCTCTTGAAGCCAGAACATCATAGTCTGCTTATCTTTTGCTTGCAGCTGATAGGTTCTTCCAGATGTGCTACGGAAGTAAAAACATTTGTAAAAAAAAAAATTCAAACCTATACCAAAATCCCCCTAAGTAAGCATATATTCATCCACTTCCCCATTTGAGCAGTCCTAAGACAATACTAAGATGTCCTTGAAGTATGTTGTCAGACAGCATATTGAAAAGATCATCTTTGATTCAGTATCTAAAAATTTTCTCACCAAATCTGAAACTGTGTTAGTCTGTCTGAATCTTCAACTTCAAAAGTGAAAGATGCATTCGCCAGATCAATAGAGCTGAAAATTAAAATAACACACACAGTCTACACAAACTGGACATATATCACTAAACTGATAACAACTCTTCATTTGACTCTGATTTGACTCAGTGATTATTTTATTTGTTCTCATAACCTTCATGTTTGATTTAAAGGTGATACTGTGAAGAGAAATAATTATTAATATTATTATTAAAAGCCAGTCACTCCTAGGGCTTAAATGATGAAGCAAATTGTAAGCCTGTTCTGCATATACACTGTGTCATTAATTTAAGAAGTGAAGATCAGGAACACTATAATTCTACACAGTTCAAATGGAACATATTTGCAATCGCTAGCAACGTTACCTACCCAAGAGGTGTACTGTCCTGAGGAGTACGGAAATAATACAACCTGCACTTCCTCTCCTCATACAGAAACCATCTTGTTTTCCATGTTTTTATTCCCTTTGCTACAATGTAATGAACAAACAGGAGAATAGAGAGAGGATTGTTCACAGTTATTCTTGTTTATATCCTTTAACCTTTTAGCTGACCCATGATCAGATAACTTATTGGAAATTCCAAGGGAAAGTTACCTGACTGTTACTGCGCTGTACTGATAATTATATGATAAGCTGAATCCTACACACAAGGTCCTTACTTGTGACCTATTAGAGGACACTGACACACAAATGACATCACCATTGACGACATTTTGCTCTTTCTCCATATAAAAAAATAGACTCCATGTCACCATTGGTCTGTATAGTTAAAGATCACAGTAGTAGACATCAAAATGTTGTAAGAAAATCAGTGACACACTCAGCTGTATCTTGTTTGCCACTTTTCTCTTTGTACCACATTTTGATATCATCTGCGATCTATAACTAAAAAGATGCAGTATGGCAACATGGAATCTTTTCGCTATAATTATAGATTTAGTACAACTTGGAAATGGAACTTTACAAAAGGTCCTATTTTTTACAGGAGGGGTCACATTTTCATGGCACCAATCCATAATGATAAGCAAAAGAGTATAATTTAGACATAGGTTAACCCTTTACACCCTAAAATCAGTATCCATATTCTCTATACTCTCATCCATGTGTTTCTTTTAGTACTGACAAGGAGAATTCATGTGAAGATTAAAGCTTCTCAGGTTGGCAATAATTTTCTTCATTCTCATTCTCTTAGTGAATGATTCAGTAGTATTACTGTGGGAAGAAATTAGATACTGGTCACTCTTTGGGTTTAAAGTGTTAAATAAAATCTACTTACCACCCAGCTTGTTCAAAAATCCACAGAGTGTTGGTGTTCCACTTGTAATTTTCTGTAAAAAGCAAAACATTTACCACTATCAGGCTTAAAAGAATCCATTAAGGAATTCTTTCACTTTCAACAGTGATCTGTAAAGAATATCAATATACAAACATCGCAAGAGATAATGAAACACGAAAACATCAATTAACATTTTTTTTTTTTTTTAAGACAAATTCTCTAATTTACTGTGAGAGGAAATGAGTGGCAGTAAAAGGAATTAATATCGAGGTCAGTTTCCTCTTAAAAGACACTCATGCTGATCAAATGACAAATCTCCTGTATTAATGCAGATACACACAACTACACCATTTAAATTGATTCCTATTGAGTACTTTAAATAAAACTCTTCCCCAACTGATTTGTTAAATAATCAATCGATCATTCAGTGAGCCTATCGGATAAGAAAAGGCATATTGAACAGCTACAGGGATAACAATATCTTGATCTAACATTATTTTAATTGTACGTCACAGCTTCAAGGGGAAATAACAAGTCATGGTCTTTACTATTCCTGACTACATAAAACTATTTTTTAAAAATCAAAATTACTTAAAATTGAATGAGACCTCTTCACTCAAAGCAAGTTGAGGCGAGAGAATTTATATGCACCTGCACACCCTGGCTCTGAGGATTGTCTTTATTTACAGGCCAAAGTGTTCATACAATCAGAGAATTGTGCACTTAACACCCATAATGAATGTTATTTTTATTGGATTTTTTAGTAGAAAGCGTTCAAAATCAAAAACGCGTAAGATCGGAATAATCATTTAGAGAGCAAAAGGTTTATGATGTTATCAAAGAGAGAGAGGCTAGAGTAACTGGCAACTCGATCATAGCTCATGTTATACGGAAAAAGATAGAAAGTGAAAAATCGCAACATTTCTGCAATTCTCTGCGAAAAAGAACATATTCCTTTCGATTTACTTCACAAATATCACTTACTGGCTTCGACTGCTCACTTAACTAAATTCAACACTTCCTTGTTCTGTAAGAATCGTAACGTATCAGCTGTGACGCAGAACTTTCTGTGCATGTTCCGTGGTACAACTTCGGTAGGGGCGTGCTTTTTGACGCCGGCTCCTAATTATTTACCACGTTATTAACATTTATACAAATTCATCACGAACCGTACATCATCAAAACTGTTTCTCACGTGTGCACTTGGGGTCGTAACGAACTTGCCGCGGTTCGAGAGCTGAAGACACATTTTCGTGTTCCTGAATTTAACCTCTCATTAAAACATGAGCGCACAATGCACGTTGAATTATTTACCTTTGACTTACTACTGCCCTCATTGTTTTCCTGCGAGGTCTCAGTGTTCTCATCAGGGGTTTCTTTACTGATTGTTGAGTGTTGAATCTCAGACGGCACGGAAACGAGCTCCCAAGAATCCTCCATGTTTTGGAAACTTAAATGCGTTGGACTGGGACCACCAGTAAGTTCGTAAGATTTTCGGAAAGAGGCCAGAAGGATGCTAGCTGTGCCAAATGTGATCGATCAAAGAAGAAAGATGAAAAAAACCCTCGCCTGTGCGAATAACTCTTTACTTTAATGAAAGCTTTTGTAACCAAAAACCACGCTTATTTTAAATATTTATCCCGGAAACCGTGGATTAACCAGATCTAAGAGAGGTCATTCCTCGCAGTCCAGCAGTTTCCGAACTTTACCGACATAACTCTACCGTCGTAACATGTTTTGGTCCCAGTTTCCCATCCTCCTCCATGCTTTTTACGTGCGGGGTATGATTTTTAGCAAGAAAAATTAGACTGAAACCACGAAAAAAAAAGGTTTTTATAAACAGGATAAGTGTTGAAGGTGGGTTTTTTTCCATATTTTTACTGCACTGCTTAACTGAGAAATTTTTTTACCTTTAAGAGATATTTTTTTATCCTTAAGCGGCCAATATGATGCCAAAATGGCGACCTACCGGCAAATTTAATATTTCGGCATGTATTGCATAAGTGTGATGCCTTTGCCGTGGAAGACTGTTAAGAATTGATCGTGATTCAAAGAGGATAATCTTAGGTACATAAATTGTTCTAGTGAAATCATCACCCAGGCTAGATTGACGCAGACTGAAGCGGTGAGGCAGCACGCAGTTATGTCAACACGTGGTAATCCATGTGCGTTTGACTGAAATATTTGATTGTAGTTCAGAGTAGCCTTCTGTTGATTTTTTATTTACCAGAGTGCATAACTACATTATTTTGACGAGGCGTGGTGGGACGTTATACGTTTTGTTTATGCATGCCCTTCTCAAACTTGTTTAATATGTGTGCTTTGCAGAGGGGTAGAGATATTTTAAAACTGTCAACGAACTCAACCAAATTGACTTCATAGCACTGTAAGATTTCTGCACAGCCCCAAGCTTAGTAAAATTTCCGCACAGCCTGATACTACATTATACATTCAGTTCTTGGATAGAGAAAACAATGACAAAAACCATACATTGCCATTGGGAAAACAAATATGTTTTACAATAGTATGAGGCTGTGTGGAAATTTACCTTAAGCTTTACTATGTTTGCAGTTCTTGAATAAGGGAACAATTTGTGAAAAAAATGATGAAAACTGTAAATTGCCTTAGGGACTATGGCTTTACTTTGCAACAGTATGGGCTGTGAGGAAATCTTACACACAACTTTCTGCAGGAAGCAGCTTTGGATTCAGAAAGGATTCTTTTTCATGGGGAAACATCAACTAGAAATTAGCTGTCTTATAAGCAATATATGAAAAATAACATCCAAGACTGTCATGAACAATTGACTTCAAAAATCCCTGCAAGAAGCAGCTTTATATTCAGAGAGGATTTCTTTTTTTCATAATGAAACATTAACTACCTGCATCATCTCATGTTGGATTTAATCACATCCAGTATTAATGGGTAGCCATATGTGACCTTTGTTCATTTAAAATTAGGCAGATAGTCATGCAATAGTTAGCTAATAGAGATTTTTAGATTCCCTTAGTGACCCACATGAAGTGTCAAGGCTTTGTCAACAACCAACCAACTATTTTATTATTTATTTATCGATTGATATATTTTTGGGAAGCAGGGTTTTTCTCCAAGTCCTCCAGTTTTTCTACCTCCACAGAAACCAATATTCCAAATTCCAAAACGACCTAGAAACAGTGACAGGAAGAGTCACCTATTGGATTGTTCACTACTAAATAATTATTATTGTCATTATTAACTAAGACTGCATACAATTCAAGCAATGAACAGATGAAATTAATAATGAAAATTAAAATTATAATTTAAGTACTTTTGATAGTTATTATGGTGACAAATTGTTTGTTGTTTTTAGACCAGAGATCAACTAAAGGGGTGTGAAATTCCAAAATGTCTGCTTTGCTGAGGAGAGCCAGCATGCTGCTGTTAACGAGAATGAGGAATCATCCATCAAATCACAGTTTGAGAACCATTTATTCTGTAACCAAAAGGTAAAACACCAGCCCAGCACTGTTCTTTGATTTTAGTTGGCTTATGATAGGGTTACAGAAATTCATTTCTGTGCACTAAAAATATATTTCTTTACTCGCTAATTGAAATGCTTGAGGCAAAATCATCCTTGCAATTTTTTTTGGTCATTTATAAATTGTTTTATATTTAAGGAATGTTTGTATGTGGCACTTTTGTAGTTGAAAAACAAGGTTGCGAACTTTCCTCTCCAGTTTTCCCTTTGTTTTCAGAAAAGAACCTACAATCATGGACGAAACTGTTGAGACAGTTGAACAAATTTCATGTTAATTTGCATTAGTCCCTATTAAGACAAGACATTCTTGTCCTCTTCCCCCATCAATCGGTGTTGTATTATATGTTGGTTACATGTTTTGCAATCAATTTTCTCTATTATTTCAAGTAACATTGAATTGGGAGAGGGGTAAATATGCTTTTTGAGAGGGAAATATTGTTGATATTTCTTGTTGGAGTGTAATCTAGATTTGTGGCAACAGGTTTTGTCTAAGATGATACTGTACAGGTGTTTTCAGTACTGTAGGTATGCAAAACTGTCCACCTCCTAAAGGTTGGATTTTTTTTAGGCTTCTGAGATTCTTCAAATGCACTGAAAGCTAAGCAAGCCTTTGGTTTTGTTAAAAGTGAAACTGCAAGAGCAGTGCCTGACTGATGACTACCAGTACCTGCCAAATGTTTACCACTTATTGCAAATTTTCCAATGAGACTTTGTGCAAATAAATGTCCTTGAATAAATAAATCTGTTAATTCCCCAGGTCTCCCAGTTCAGTCAGTCACCAGCTACCAAGAGCACTGTCAGTATTGCATCCTCAAGTACAGGTACTTATTTTATGGATGAGTTCAATAAAGCAATGCCCTGTTTCACCAAACACTGTCCTGAAAATTGTGATAGTGACTAAATAAATTCTACTTTTTATCAGCCTTGGAACCAACCAAGAGATTGTTAACATTTTTTGTGGTTGTGTTACCAAGAAAAATGAAAATAAAGTCTTTCAAGAAGATTTGAAGTTCTGATCTTCTGATTTCTTGTTCAGGCGTTCTACTGCTGGATTACAGGGAACTTTTTTGTAAACCAGGCTATTTACAAGATTCACATGTAACAGATGTCCTGCAAACTACCATAGCATGAACATTGTCATGAGCACCATGTTGATTTTTCATGAAATGAAAAGAGATGATGAATTTTAAAATCACTTGTCAGGGGAACTCGGATACTTTTTGTGTTTGTGCTCTCATGGTAACTTTCAGCTTTCTTCAATGGAATATTTTGCTCCTTTTAATAAATGTGGTTTCATGTAAATAGAAAGCCAATATGTGTGTTAAATTGAATTGAAGCCTGCTCAGGGTGCATTAGCTTTAGTGGTAACTAATTTTTGAGATTAGAAGAAAATTACCTGATGGTACATGTACTCATAATTTTATTTTATTTTAATGGTATAATACAGTATATTTATATTAGTTTACTTTGAATTCTCAGGAAGTGGATTCAAATGGAAAAGAGCTTGAATCAGGAGACTTCTCAAAATTTAGATTATCTCAAGAAACTGTTGAGCTTCTGAAAGGTTGGATTGATTTTTTCTTCTGATTGACAGATTTTGTATATTTTCATAGAATATATCCAAAGTAAAATATAGGTCACATTACACTGATTGTGGTGCTCTAACTCTGGCAGTAGTTTGACAGTTTTTGTAGAAAAACACAATCCAAAAATTTAAACATGCTTTGTTTTCATAAACACTTTCTTGTAACTGACAATGCAATTTTTATTTTCAGCAAAGAACATTACTCATCTTTTCCCAATCCAAAGTGAGACGTTTGACTTCATTTATAATGGTGAAGATGTTATGGCTCAAGCAAGTAAGTCTAGGAATATTTATGTTATTTCATGTTATTCCAAAATGAAAGTGAATTCAGTAAGTGAGTCGATGTAAATGAAATTATTTACTAGTAGCATGCTGAAAATGTCTTATCTTGACCAGTGGATGATCATTGACAATTTTAAATTACATAATTCAGCTGAACTTCAGTTACAGAAATTACAAAACTGTAAACCTTTAGAAAAAATGGGGCTTGAATGAGTGCCTCCCAGATAGTAAATATCAAACAATTTTTGACCCTCTAGCTCCCTCCCATGAGTGACCAAGACAGAATTTCTCCTCACAACATCATACAATATCAACCAGATAGGTGATGAGAATAAAGAAGAAGATCAATTTGGAGTTTGATCAATTTCTTTACTTTATTTTAGTTTTGTTACATATGAGGACAAATTTGTGACTCATTTAATAAATATATATTTTCATGTTAAATAGGGACAGGCACTGGGAAGACAGTAAGTGGAAAATTTTCCTGTTATCATTTAAATAATTGCAAGTACCATATGGACTGGAGCACAAATAAAATTACAACTAGCAGGATTCCAATGATATGTCCATATTTTCTATCTTCAGCGATAAAATCTTAAGTGAAGATAAATTAAAATAAACATGAAACATTAAAATTATGGCTTCATGTTGATGATATTTATGTTCTTTATTTCACAGCTGTCCTTTATACTACCTCTAATTGAAAAACTCAAGTTAGAAAATCGGTCTGAATCTTATAGACAAGCTCCAAAGGTAGGTGCAAAGGCTCTGAGAAGACATTAAGACTTCCTTAAGAACCTGAGTTTACTGCGTTTCTTTTAAAATGTAGTACAAAATTAATGGTTACTTAAGATTTGCAGGCAGGTAGTTTCACAGGCCTAGTAGGCCTCATGTTTCTTGGGAGGCTCAGGCTCACCCTAGCATATTTTCAAAATATTAGCTGTTGCAATAGCATTATCCTAATTGATGAGGTCTTTTCCAATTTATGCTGCTTTGTCAGTCCAATAGGTCAATCAATTTTACTGAATTTGAAGAGAATTTTATGTGTGTGTAGAGTGTGATGACATTTTGGTAAAGGTTGCAAGTGGGTAGCCAGTGCATAACAAGTGGATTGATCTGCCTGCTACCTGGCTGTCATTTTAATCTCTCCCTCTTGCTAAAGGTCCTGTTACCCAGTAGATATCATGACTCTTTCATGGAGAAGTGTTGTTGTGGAAGAGGTTAATCTCTTCATTTAAAAATATAATTAGTGCTTAACTATTCATATGTATGCTTTACTCTTGTGTGTGTACTTGAATGTACAGTGTACAAGATACTTTCTCATTGCTTGTTGGTACAAACAATCCAACAAACAATCTGACACAAGGATTCCTTTAATATGTAGTAAGTCTGATAAACAAAGATAATTACAGTTTGGTATGATTTGCAACAACATTCCAATTATGTTTTAGGTGTTACAATATGAAATTTACAAAATGATGTAGGAACTAATCTAAGACAGAAATCTACAATTTGAAATGAAAAGGAAAGTAAAATACAAATTACTTAAAGCTTTTGGACTTGAAGGGTACTTGTAGATCCTTCAGCATAAAATAGAGTTCAACCTTATGTGTCCCCCTGACCGTGTTTTCACTGGAAAACAGAGGACAAGTTATGCAATTAAAATGCAAGTGCATTTGATTGGAAGTCTTATCTATTTTAAACATCAAATAATCAATGAAAAATAGAAATCAATTAGGAGATCATTCAAAACACTTGTTGTATGTTGTAGGTGTTGGTTTTGGCACCAACAAGGGAACTTTGTAAACAGGTAGGAATCTTTTTTTTAATTCTCAAAGTACATGTAATTGCAATTATAATAATTGTAATTTTAAATACGGTAAGTTTCATAAGCTTTTCATTAACTTTTCCCAGCATCTAATATCTCTTTACCATATCACCCTGAATCAAACATTGAGGTCAGGAGAATAAAAGAACTGATCACCAACTAAAGAAGCTCTTGACTGTCATACAAATTCTTCTTGTCAACACCTTTAAGTTTACTTAGTAAATGTATTGAGAGCAGTATGGAGAATATCAATATTGATGTTAGGGTGTAAAGGGTTAAGTAGCTTTACTTGAATTTGGATCTCTTTGTGTTAGTCTGTTATATTTTTGAAAGCTTTGATCATAAAATACTTGTCATTTTTCTTTAAAGTGAAGTACCTCATTACTATTTGTTTGTGATAAAATTTTATGAGTTTGGAAGAAACATTTTTGAGTTTTTGTAACTCACAGCTAATCTATTGACACTGACAAGTAAATTGAACCCCCTTTACTTTATCTTTACAGATTGGTGGTGAATTTGACTATTTCAAATCAGGTCTAAAAGTGGGCTGCTTTTATGGAGGAGTTCCAGTCGGTCCCCAAGGTAAGTGACATCGCAGTTGACAGATGTAAATAACCTCGATCTCATCCTCTGTCATTGTAGACAGCTTGTAAGAGAGAGCTTGTTGGCATTACTAGCTCACAATCTTTCTCTGAGCTACCATGTTTAAGTCAGGAATTTCCATCTCTCCCCAACCTTCCTGAATTGTGAAAATCGAAAATGATGGCCAGACTTCTCATTAAGAAATAAATAAACTATAATGGAACTGTAAATGTAAATTTACTTGGGAACAAAAGAATAAAGAAACCAGAATTAAGATTTAACCTTGGTTTAGTGCTAAATGGTCTTCGAACAACTGGGTCTAGGTAATTAACCCTTTTGCTCCCAAGATCTCATTAGAAATTCTCCTTACTGTCTGCCATACAATTCTAATGATGTCAGGTTGGAGGATTTGGTTATGGATGGATCAATAATCCCCTAATTTTTTTTCTTTTCCCATTACTTGTCTGCTTGATATCATATTGATACTGTTAGGAGAAATTATTTGTTGGTCACTCATGGGAGTTAAAGGGTTAAGGTGGCTCTCCATCTACATTACAGACTCTCTTTAGCCTTCCTCAGTTGTAAAAATCGAAGATGGTGGCCAAACTCTTCATTAACCTTGATACTCTGATTGCAATTCAATGAACATGAGTATGGATGTGACTTATCATTAAAATGTTTGTCTTGTTTTGATGGGCAATAATTGTAACTTAGGATCACTAATTTGTTTTTTGTTATATTGACTTCGGCAGCTGATGCAATTGAAAGAGGTCTGGATATTGTAGTTGGAACACCAGGAAGACTCATGGATCACGTGGTTAACGGAAGTCTAAACCTCAGAGAGTTGAGGTAATTTTGAATTCTTCTTGTATATGGAAAGAAAATTACACCTTGTTTACCCATAATGACTTCTCATAAGTATTTGAAGTATTGTGGAGTATGAATCAAGTAAATCTACAATCAAACCTGTCTCAAGCGGTGCTGTATTAATCAGTTGTTTGTCAAAGTCTCGAAATTCTTTCTCCTTTGCTACTG